TGAGTGAGCCTAAAGAGACAAAGGAAGTGGAGGAAGAGGAGGAACAGAACATTGTGGAAGAGACGGTGAGAGAAAGACATGTGATCAGTCAGGAAATCTCCGATCACCAGTACTCCAGTGGAGATTACAACCATCACGCCAAAGAATCAACAGTGGAGCAGAGGAAGAGGGAGGAGGAGGAGGAGGAGGAGGAAGAGGAAGAAGAGGAGGAGGAGGAGAGGGACGTCCACCAAGTTGTTGTTACTCCTTACACTTTGAGTACGATCAGTCAGGGATCTGAGGCTGAGAGGTCAGTCAGGGAAGAAAGATACCTATGACTGAGGAAGAGGAGGAAGATGAATATGAGAGGGAGGAAGAGGAGGAGGAGGAGAGGCTGGGTGCAGGAGATCTGCTGGAAGAGGAAGAGGAGGAGAGGCTGGCTGCAGGAGAGCTGCTGGAAGAGGAAGAGGAGGAGAGGCTGGCTGCAGCAGAGCTGCTGGAAGAGGAAGAGGAGGAGAGGCTGGGTACAGGAGAGCTGCTGGAAGAGGAAGAGGAGGACCGAGACTCCAGCAAAGCCTCTCCCACCACAGTGGTTATAGAAGTCCGCTCTGAGGAAGACGATGAAGATGATGAGGAGGAGGAGGAGGAGGAGGAGGAGGAGGAGGAAGGTGAAGAGCAGGATGGTGTGTCGGAGGGCTCAGGGATCACAGACGACTCTGAGAACTGGGACATGACCCGGGGGAACCTGGGTCTGCTGGAGCAGGCCATCGCCCTGAAGGAGGTGAAGGGGGGGCAGGAGGCGGGCTCTCCAGACTACCAGCCCTACAGCGGCTCCAGCCACAGCCCCGAGGCCTCGGCCCTCCCCCGTCGCACCCCCCACTACTGCAAAGGTATTCCTACTGTCACTGCTGTAGGGAGTGTCTGTGCAAGGTGTTAGGGCTCAGGAGCTCAGGAGCCTGCTCGTTAGGAGCCGCTCCATCCAACGAGTCCCAGCTAATGGCCCAGTGGTGAAGGACACGCGTTCTGTCTTCAGATCGCTGGCTCACAGCTCTTGTACAGTTTAGTAATGGTATTCATTTCAAATTGGCAGATTTCTTATCAATATTTTGAAAATACAATGAACATAGCTCAGTAAAATAGGGTAAATAAAGATTTAAATATATTTTAGTGGATAAAACTAATTTTAAATGATTAAACATTGTAAATTAACCACTTTAAATGTTTGAGGTGTCGGTTTTAATACCAATATTAGTGATTCTTGGCCTGGCAGTATTTCCGATTGGTCAGAACCCCTTGTATTAATTACTGCGTGCTTTCATTCATTATCCATCTAAATCACACCATCCTCTATGCAGACAAGAAGGAGGTGAAGTGTCCGACCCCGGGGTGTGATGGGACAGGTCATGTGACCGGGCTGTACCCTCACCACCGCAGCCTGTCTGGGTGTCCTCACAAGGACCGGATCCCTCCAGAGAGTGAGTCCCCTTCCATCAGACCCATCTGACTCTCATTCATATTCTGTCTCTCCTGCAGCGCTCTGATTAACATCCACCTGTTCTGTTTCTATTTCAACAGCTACCCAAGTGATGAAGGCTAATGCTGGCAGTAATGATACAAACTAAAGTAGCCAACATAACTATTGTTTTACTTTTATAATCAGAGGTGGTGGAAGTAGACCTTGTACTAGAGTAAAAGTAGAAGTACCAGAGAGTAGGAATACTCTGTTACAGTCAAAGTCCTGAATTCAAAATGTTCCTCAAGTAAAAGTAGAAAAGTATTATCATCAAAATATAGTGAAAGTAGCGACAGTAAAAGTAGTCATTGTGCAGATTGGTCCATTTCAGAATAATATATATGATATGTTTTATAATGATTGATCATTAAAGTGTTCTCA